GAAGTGGACTTCAGCAAATAAATAGATTGTTCGGAATTAGATCTGTAGTCTTACATTTAATTTAAATTTTAATAATTGAAAATTAGAATTGTAGAAACGGTACATATTTTTAAGTTACAATAAATAAATTACAAGAGAAGAAATGGAAATTCTAGAAACCAACCACCAGTTGGTGCGGATGTGAGTTTGCCTTATTTTAAGGGGTAATATTGTCTTTTCAAGTTTTCTGTTACTGTTGTTAATAGAAGCTACCTTAATCAAACCTTAAGGGGGTACTGCGCCTAATTTGATACCACAAGGGGGTCATGTGCCAAATGGTGAAACCACAAGGGGGTTAAGTGCTATTTACCCTATTTTCTTTCCTTTCTTACACATTATAGTTGTCATTCTCAGATATTTATCAAGATGATCTACCACTTGAGAATCGAGAATGCGGCGAATTTCATCTTTCTTTGTACCACCAAGAGTGGATGGATCTATGTCATCCGGTTGTGCTCATGATATTGTGATCGTTGATGTGTCCCCTTTCTGGGTAGTTATGTTTATGAACAATATTCCTCACGATTCGCATGACAGTTCTTTGAATTTCTTCAATTTTGTTCTATATTTAAATCTTCAATTTTTATTACCACCCATAATCATAAAACAGGGTTTGTCTAGGGTGAGATACCCCATGTTCTAAACTTTTATGAGATATGCATTAATCACCATTAATTTTCTAAGATTAAATCTGGATCCTAGGAAAATAACATGGCTTATGTTCTAAAAAATGAAGTATTTTACCAAATTATCCTTCGATTATTTTTTTTATTAAATTAATATAAAATTGATTAACATTGAATTGTCTAATTTACCCCCTACTATATTTTAATTAAATAATTAATTTAAATTCATTGTGACCGAGATTTATTTGATAAATAATCGAAAAAAATGCATTCATTAGGAATAGAACTTGTGACCTCTTAATACATTTATCACTCCTAACCATCCAAGCACATTAACTTATTATGATATATTTAACAATAATTGTATAAATACTGTGAATTCAAATATTAATTGCAACATTCATTATTATTAAATTAATAATGATATTAAATAAATTATTAACAAATTTAATAAAATAAAGTTTAAAAAATATAAAGAATTGCAGTTCAATACGCCAAACATCTATCATTAATTATATAATATTAGAAGTATTAATAAACTCCACCATTTAATGTAAAGAATGCTCAATTAAATATAAAAAAATGCATAACTTAATTCAAACTCACTTATGTTATTTAATCGATAGTGTGACAAATCCAAATAAAAAATAAAATAATATGTTTGTTTAGAAGAAGAAAAAATTATAACTCATTCCAATTAGTAGTTTTCTTACTTTAAAATAAAATTATATACTACAAATACTATATTGTGAATTTCTTTTAATATTTAATTTAATCAACTAGTAAGATTTGTATCGATGAAGTACAAATCCTTTCAATTAGTAAACATTATTCAAATATTTTAATCGGTTGCTTAACTATTGACATAACATGTTACATAATTGATTTAACTATTTATAAGTAATGTCTAATATCTTTTTAATTCAATTTTGTCATAAAAAATAGTAAATTTAATTCCTAACACATGTAAGAACCTAATCGTAAATCATAATATTTTATCAAAGCGTAATATTTGAACCAATTAAGCTCAAGTGCTTTCAATTCGTAAAAAATATTCAAATATTTGAATCGATTCATTAGCGCGCTCAACTATTGACAAGAACGTCTTAATCAAATTAACTATTATTGATTAAAGTGTAATACATTTTTAATTCAATTTTATCATAAAAAAATAATTCCTAAATTACGCAAGAATCAAATCATAAGATTAATTAAAGCGTATGATTTGAATCAATTTAGCGCAAATCCTTTTAATTTGTAAATATTATTCAAAAATTTGAATCGATTAAATTCAACCACTGACAAGAACGTATTAATCGAGTTAACTATTTATAATTAAAGTCTACTATCCTTTTAATTCAATTTTAACAACAAAATAATAATTTAATTCGTAAAATCGTAAAAATCATATCGTAAATCGTAAGATTTAATCTAACCATGAACCGATTAAATCTTACGATTTTTACGAATTAAATTTTATTATTTTTTATGATAAAATTCAATAAAAAAAAGGTTACTAAACTTTAACTATACACAGATTGATTAATACGCTATTGTAAATTATTGAGTTTAACCGATTCAAATATTTGAATATTGTATACGAATTGAAATGAGTTGAGCTTAATCGATCAAATCTTTGAATATTGTTTTTGAATTGAAAACACATGAGTTTAATTGATTCAAATATTACGATTTAATAAAATCTTCCAATTTACGATTCAATTCAAACTTCAAATTCTTTCGAAACTCATTTTTAAATTACACGAGTTGAACAACATTTCCTTAGATTTTTAAATTATATTATATAAAGATTTGTTAGTATGGGATATTTTTAATATATAATAATAATAATTATATGAGAATTAATAATTTATTTAACATTATTTATATAAGTTTTATAACCATTATAAATTGTAGCTTTGTGATATATATCCGTATTGTTAGTTTATTGTCAATTATGTGTTGTGTCTTAATGGTAAGTATTCTTGTGTGTTTTCAGATGGTCACGAGTTCGAATTCAAGTTGATGCAATTTTGGATGGGTGGTTTAATGATTTTTACGAATAATGATATAATTGACATTATAAATTTTAATTCAACAATAAATATATATTTAAAATTGCATTAAAAATATAGAGGGTAAAATTGACATTACATTAATATTATATAATGGCCGATTTTTTGAAAATATTAATTATACGAAGGGTATTTACGACAATACGTAAATGAGGAAAAAATGGATTTTTTGGCAGGGACACGTGGCGCAATATAAAGGGGGTATCTCATAAAAGTTTAGAACATGGGATCTCACCCTAGAAAGACCCCATAAAACAATGCAGAAAAAGAAAATTGAAATGTTCTTATTTATTTATTAATTTACATTCTTCTATTATTTTAGGTTATCAGTCTATTAAACTTCAATTAATTCCCAAAAAAAATTATTTTTTTCCGGCAATGTTACAATTCCCCAAATATATATTTTTCCATAATCTTGACTTTCGTGAGTTATAATTATTCTAAATGATGAAATATTTCGGACATATTGTATTTTAATATATGTTATTTTAATTAAAGTCTATAAACTTATGTACTAATTTAGTGTTATTTTATGAGAATATTTCTAAATTTATTTGATGTTACACACGACGTTGATGAGATCTCACTATACACATGTGTTTGTAAATAATTACCCTCTAATCCACTTACGCACATAATTACATGTATGTTTTTTCTTAGTGTAGATCATTGGTTTCAAATACACATAATACACTATCTACCAAGACCTTATTTCTTTATTTATCTTTTCTCTAAAATCTCTATTCCCCAAAAATCGGTGTGATAACACTAAACAAAAAAATTAGCAATTAACCTTCTTTTTGGAATAATCGGCAATTAACTCTTTTTACATTGTTATGAATCTTATTATACAATTATGCTATCTTCGAGGCCTATGGTTTGGTTGGGGAGATTAATTATAATTAACTAAATAATTGGACTTTGTTTGATGGTTGATATCCTCAATAAATTATCATGTCGACCAATGAAAAATTATACTATCATGTATTTTCTTGCATTATCTTGCATTTTAAGAAGTTTTTCTGTTGAACAGCCGGGAATCCAATAAAAACTAAATTTTTATTAAATTATTTAATCTTGAACCAACTTACCACCTCCGGAACCAGTTGTCATATCTTAATATCTTATTAATCAAGACAAGAAAAAAAAAATAAAAAAAAACAAAACAAAACAAAACGGGTAAATTATGGTAGAAAAGGAAATGAATTATACTGATTCATGGAAGCTACCCTTATTGACATAAACCCATCTTCCTTCTTCGAATCCAATTTTCCTCGAACACCAAAAGTCAATTCCTTTTACTTTATTTGCCTCCTCTCTCTCTAAAACTCTCTCTACATATAAATAAATAAATATATTTGTCAAGTCAGATACTGAGAGCAGATTGAAAGCAAAGCAAAGCGAGAAGAGAATGTCAGGAGGCATAGCACGCGGTCGTCTCGCCGAGGAGCGCAAGTCATGGCGCAAGAATCACCCTCACGTTCGTTTTTTCTTCAATTATACTGCTTTTTTTGCCCTTTTCTGAGGTTTTCAATTTTTTCATTAATTTGGGGGAATTTTTGAATTTAGGGTTTTGTGGCTAAACCCGAGACGAGTCCAGATGGTACGGTTAATCTGATGGTTTGGCGCTGCGTCATCCCTGGTAAATCCGGTGTGAGTTTTTCTCTTTCTTTCTTTTTTTTTTAAATATGAGGAATTTTTAGTAAAGATTACTGCTTTTGTTTGATTCTGTGTGTGTGTGTGTGTGTGTGTGTGTGTGATAGAGTGTTAATAAGTAGCAATAAGAGCCATTGGTATGTTTTTTCTTCTGCTATCGTCTTATTTTCGTCCAAAATCGAAGATAGCTTCGTCGAACATGTCTCGAAAGATGCGTATTTCAAAAGAAGAATTTGAAATAAAGCAATGTATGTATGTATGTATATTAGTAGTTGATTTATGTCCGGGCACGAGTTTTTAAGAATTTCCAAACCGTAATCTTGAATATAAATCGAAAAGTTCAAGAAACGCATACTTCGAAAGCGATAACGACTGAAAATTAGCTTATGAAATATTAGCTTCTGCTTTTTCGTCTTCAATTTCGAGCTCTTCTTTCTATTGGTTCAGTTTTGTTGATATATCTCGATTCAATTTTGAGCTATTCTTTTTATTAGACTAAATTATTATTCCGATTTGCAGACGGATTGGGAAGGTGGGTATTATCCTCTGACGATGCACTTCAGTGAAGATTACCCGGGCAAACCACCGGAATGCAAATTCCCTCCGAATTTCTTCCACCCGAATGTATACTCTTCTGGTAGCGTATGCCTCTCCATCCTCAATGAAGCCCTTGTAAGTCTCGTTTTTTTTTTTTTTAAATTTCCAAATTATATTTCGCAAAACTAAATTTAATTTTTTTGGAAATAGGGTTGGAGACCATCGATTACCGTGAAGCAAATTCTGGTCGGCATTCAAGATCTACTGGACAAGCCTAATCCAGATAGTGCTGCCCATCCATATAGCAATCAGCTTTTCTTAAAGGTGTCGTCTCGTATTAAGATTTAAGAACCGAGATTATTTGGATTATTTTTTAGTTCTTTTAAAATGTTTTCTTTCATGTGATTTGATGATGCTCTTTACCTTATATGGTATTTTTTTTTTTTTTTGCAGCAACGTGACGAGTACAAGAAACAGGTGTGCCAGCTGGCGAAGCGATATCCAGCTCCTGCCTGATTAGTATTATTGGCATGATGTTATCGAATGAAGTAGTGTGCGTTTTTTTCTTTTGCATAAATATCGGATAATATTTGGAGTAAGTAGTGCTATTAGGGAGCTAAATATGGTGTTGATATATCTGTTTGTGGTAGATTTGTGACTTTTGTGGTTTAGTTTCGGTTCTTAGTTAAGTAATTCAATTTCATGGTGAAACACCAATCTTGTAATTTGGGGAATTCATGATTCCAGTATATTATGACTAAATTACTAAAGATTCCCTCTTCTTGTTCCTTTTTTCTTCTTTTTTTCTTTTTTTTTTCTTTTTTTTTCTTTTTTTTTTTTTTAATTATTAACGTTGGAGTTTGATTTGAACAAGGGACATTTCGTAAATGTGAGACGACTATTATACATTGTAAATTTTCAATGACAATTTTTTGGTTGATAATATTATTATTACTGAAAATACATGTTTATCGGATTCAGAGTACGCCAATTTTTGTGAGTTTTTGAGCATGAAGCAGGTGCAGGTCGTGCAGGTAGCTATCGCACCTCAACCATATTTAATAAGTTTTGAACTCAAGAACTCAATAGTTTTGCTAATGAAGCTCGTCAAATTTTTGCGATTCGACTTTATTTTGATATGTTTTGAACTCGTGACAACTTTTAGTAGAAAAAATGGATTTTAATTTCGTATAAATGTTAGTGATTTTTGTCAAAAAAAAAAAAAGTATTGATGTATAATTGCTAAAGAAAACATTTGAGTGATTTTTAATTAAGCCCGTTTAGTAATTACAGTAAAAAATGAAAATTTCTACAGAAGTAACAAAGTAACAGAGTGGCATTAATAAGAGATTTAATCCACTCAAGAATTATTCAATGGGATTGAACCAAAGTTTGAGAGATTATTGAAATTTACCTGATAAATCATTTTATATCGATCTATCTAAACTTGTCACACACAGAAAAAGTAAAAAGAAAACGACCACATTAGGAAAAGTTCTTCTAAAAAAGAAAAAATAAATAAATAAAGAAGGATAAATTATGAAAAAACCCCTCTTGTTTGGGTAAAAAAACTTAACTACGTATCTTCTTAAACGTGCACTCTTATGAATACTTATTTTGTGTAAAAACGTAATTTCTAATGTACCACAATCTGATATTTACAGGCCAATAGACACATTCTCTGATCATCATTTTTCAAAATGTGGAGCTCGAATAGGGTAAAACGGGTACAAAGTGGAGAATATTCCACATAATCTAGAAGATTACGTTAAATCAATCTGACACCACAAGAGTAAACCGTAAGAAAATTCATAGTTGAGGGGTGATTGTAACTTATAGTAATTATCCACACATAAGAATTGTTTTTTTCGTAATTCAACCTTACTCAGGGTTCCGTAATTTATCCTAAAAAAAAAAAAAAAAAAAACCATTAGAAAAAGTTAAATAAGTAAAAAAATAGGATAAGAAAGAAATTAATTGCTGATTCATGAAACCTAAACCTAATTAATTCTCATACGAATCCCATTTCCCTCGGAAACCCACTAGTCAAGTTCATTTACACTTCTTCTTTCACACCTATTCATATTTTCATATCTACTATATATTTCATTTTCCTTCTATCTTTTTTGTATCTATATATATATATATATATATACACACACACACACATATATCGTTTCTCTGAGAGCAGAGTGAAACAGAAGCAGAGAGCTAAAAGAGAATGTCGGGAGGCATAGCACGTGCTCGTCTTACCGAGGAGCGCAAAGCATGGCGCAAGAATCACCCTCACGTTCGATTTTTTTATTATTCAATTTATTATTATTATTATTATTATTATTTGTATTATTTCCCATAATCATTTCTCGTGTTTTCGATTTTTTTTTTAATTCATAATATATATTTGGGAATTTTTGGTTTAGGGTTTTGTGGCGAAACCCGAGTCCGGTGCAGACGGATCGGTTGATCTGATGGTGTGGCATTGCCTCATCCCTGGTAAACCTAATGTGAGTTTCTAGGATTATCGAACTAGGGTTGGATGTTGTCATTCGATTTGTAATCTATGGCTCGTTTGGTTGGGGAGATTAGCCATGATTAACTAAATAACTGAACTGTGTTTTGATGTTTTGTATCCTGAATTATAACTTGTCGGATCGACCCGCATATATTATGTTAGGCATATTGTCCTTCCTAGGTCTACTAATACAATTGGATTATATATCTTGTCAACCAAACGAGACCTTAATATACCGAATGTATGATGTGTTCAACTATGAATGGTTTGGCCCTAGTTAAGAACACTCTTTGTTACGAAGCATGTTATCGAATTACATATGTAAAAATAATTATAAAAAAAATAAAATAATCCGATATTTAAAACCTCGATTTTTCGATTTGCAGACCGATTGGGAAGGAGGGTATTATCCGCTGACGATGCACTTCAGCGAAGACTACCCTATCAAACCTCCGAAATGCAAGTTCCCTCCTAATTTCTTCCACCCTAATATATACCCTTCTGGTACCGTATGCCTCTCGATTCTCAATGAAGACAGTGTAAGTATTTTTCCCATTAATTCAAATGTATATTCGCGAAATTGTTTTTTATTTTTAAAATTATTTATTGATTTATTAGGGTTGGAGACCGGCAATTACGGTGAAGCAAATTCTTGTCGGCATTCAAGATCTACTTGACTTGCCCAATCCAAGTGATCCGGCTCAAACCGATGGCTATCAGATTTTCATTCAGGTTCCAGATTCTTTTTGTAATTTAAATATTTTATTTCGTAATATTATTCGATGCGCTTAACTTTTGTAGTATGTTTGTATTTTTGCAGGAACCCGACGAGTACAAGAAACGCGTGCGACAACAGGCGAAGCAATATCCGTCACCTGTCTAGATAATATCGGTATGCACTTTTGCATTAGTATCAAGATAAAACATTCGAAGTCGTGTGCTATTTCGGGAACTAAATTTTTGTGTAGATATATTATCCGTTTTGTCGTAGATTTTGCGACTTATGGTTTGATTTCATTGCTCGGCTATTTCAACTTCATGGTAGTAAAAATACAATATTTTTCGTGTTTTTCTAGTACATGCACCACAAAGATATCCAAAAAATCGATTCTTTGCCTCAATTCATCGCACAAATAAAAAAATTCCGAAAATTTAGTGATGTAAAGTAGTTAGGGAGGGAGATCTTCCCTACTATACAAGACAATTTCAAACAATTTACCCTCCGATTCTTGATCGCATTCTGGAACTAAATCTTGTGGTAGATTTTGCGACTTAAGGTATAATTTCGTTGCTCGATTATTTCAACTTCATGGTAGTAAAAATCCAATCTTTTTGAGTATATATATTGAGTAGACGCACCACAACAAAGTTAAACAATTGATACTTTGCCTCAATTCGTCGCACAAATAAATAAATTTCCGAAAAAAACACTATTGATGTAAAGTAGTATAGGGAGACCTTCCGCTACTATCCAAGACAATTTCGAACAAATCGCCCTCCGATTCTTGATCGTACTCGATATCTCTAATACTATTCACCGTGTTATTGTTACTTCTATTTGCACTTCTTTGTTGCCAATGAGAATCGATCCTGCCCATCGAGAAAAGCTCCCTACTGTCTTCTTCGTAACTTAAGGCGGGAGAATTCGAATAGGGTCCGCCTATAAAGCACGGATTTCGTGTTCTTGTTAGATTTGCCGGTGCAAATCGAAAAGGGCTTTGACCGAGATTTATTAATATTGTGATATCTGCCGTGTTTGATGATGCTATTGTAGGATACAGAGGAGAAGCGAATTCGTCTCTCTTGCAACTGATTTCGTGTACTAGTTGTGAGTTGACCGTGAACAATACTTTTTTCTGGCTCGGATTGTATCCGCAGCCGATTACATTTTCGGCTTTTCCTCCCCATTCGTTTGTTTCCGATTCGGAAACGAGCTTTGTTCCTGAGGAAGGAAAAATAATTTTGATTTTAGGTGATTGGTTAAACACTATTTACAAAAAAAAGAGAAAGAATAAATGAACTTTGTAAATTACAAATATCATTCTAATTGGTACAATGAATTAAGTAAGTCTAAAAGATTAAAGAGATGGGAATATTCTCTTATTCCAAGTTCATCCAAACAACTGACTATTCAATAAAAATAAATTATTGTTTAATTTTCAATCCTAATAATTGTTTTTAATTATTGGGAATATATTTAGGTAGAACATAATGCAGGTTCATAAATAATTGTTTTGACTTGATTATGTATGTTTGTCTGATGCTGCAAGTAACCTACTACAATATCTAAATAATTAAACATATATGAAAAAAATAACATTAATTTTGTCAATTTGGTCTGTATTATATATATGACCTTCAAGTTTGTGACACCTGCCATGTTAAATAAAAGCAGATGTGGCAATATTAGAAAAGTTGGAATCACTATTTAAATGCATGTATGACGAGCTGCTACATTTGATAAGTTGTTTTTAGAGTTTATAAGCTGTTACGTTTTACTTTTAGAATTGTTTTTAAAGTGTACAGATAATGATTTTATAAGCTATTTTTACTCATTACAGGATCTTAAATAAAAATGTGGGATAACGGTACTTTTCGAAAAAAATCTTAATTGCTCACCAACAACTTATTTTTCTAAAATTTAAAATTTCCTTAAAAAAATACCAAACACGCTCGAAGAGCTTATAACCTCTTAAACATCATGTGAACTCTTTTTAAACAGCTTATAAGCTTAATCAAATGCTCTCTAAGTTGAAGCTTCTAATAAACATTAAAATACTCGATTATTTTCAGTTGCTACTTATTATTGGTCTTGTAGATACTACATTTGGCAAACTCCATCTGAGTAATTATTTAGGCAAAATCGAACATGAATATGTAGTCGTGTAAAACGTGTAATGGAAAAAAAAAAAAACACGTACAAAATCGCATTGTACTCGATGAAATTCATCGGATATAGGATAGAATAAGCCCTTATTCTTGGTGTGGAATTTCTCATTTTTCAGAGCAAAAAGACGCACTAAAAATTGAAAAAGTTTCCTAAATTCACAAAAATGATGAACAATTTGATAAAAAAGTAATGGTTATAACAGCTCAGAAATATCCTATACAATAAGTGGAGCTGCTTCATTATCTCAATTTGCACATTGCCTTTGCATTAAAAAGGACAAAAAATCATATAGGTGACCTTATGGTCTAGTATAATAGTCTGTAAATTATACAAGAGATATAAATTACACTATTTTAACAATGTGTGACAAGCTCGATTCATTGACCATCGGCAATGGAATTCGAACTTGGGTGAAATAACGCAAACTCACTCACTACAACAACTAGACCGTCCCCTTTAACAGACAACCTCACGAAAAGGATATTTATGTCATTTTAACTGAAAATTGCAGAAAAAAATCGCAAATTCCATGATGAACTTCAAAGGATCTTCTGGCTTTTGACCTATTAGTCATGGTAGATTACGCTCATCCATAAGGTAAGATTAAATTACGACAAAACCCCTATTTTCTGGTTAGTTACAATCATCCCTCAAGTATGTATTGTTTTCCAAAAACTTCTTAATGCAATGGGTAAATTTGACACCGTAAAAATGAACGTGTAAGATAATATATAGTTAAGGACTTGTTATAAACTTATAACTATCCAAACACAAAAGCTTTTTTCGTAATTTAATCTTACCCTACCTACCTGCAGTTAGTTATTATATGTTTGATTTGTGGTAATAAAAACATTATAATGAGTTGTTATCAAGTCCAATAAATGCAGGCAAAAAAAACAAAATGCAAACGTCAAAATTATAAATGCAGGTAAAACAAAAAACTGACCATCAAGATAGACCGAGCCACTCGAATTGAAACCAATAGACCCCGGAAAACTGCCCGGAAATCTCACCGGAAAATGGCCGCCGGCGACCAGCCCCACACACAGTGAAACACCTTCATTCCTCACACCCTGTTTCTTCGCAATTTTCGACACAGCTTCTTCGATCTTGGTGCTGCTCCTCTGGCTATGGCTGCTCTTAACATGGCCCAAAGAATCACCACTGCTGCTGTTCTTCGCATTAAAATCTTCGCCGATGAGTTTGATTCTATCACCCTCCAATTTTCCCGACTCGTCGCGATCGTACGCATTTTCACTACTCGACAAAATCGTGACCTCGAAGTAGGCTTCTTGCGGGAAAGACGCGTTCCCCAAATTCGGGCCGGGCAGAGGCAGGCCCGCCCGGACCGCTGACACGGCGGGCCCCGCCGTGGAACCGCCGTTTGGAGCATTCAGTCTGATTTTCTGCATGAAATCGGCCGATCCTTCGCAGACTTCCCAACCAATCTCGATGTTGTTGTTATTATTATTATTACTCGTCTCGACGCCGCCGGCACGATCGCCGCCGCCGCCGCCGCACGAGCCGAGGAGGGACCTAGCGGCGGCGGCGGAAGGCGGCGGCGATGGAGGAGCGAAGGCTGTGACGAAGGCGAATCTTGACCACCCATTTTCGACTGCTACAGTGACGTATGAAGGATGATCGGCCCAACTGAAGGCTGGGTTGTTATCTTTCCGGTGGTGGTGGTGGTGGTGGTGGTGGTTGTGGGCCGGGCTGACCTGATGAAGCCTGGCGATTCCGGTCTGCAAAGTCCGGTCTCTTTCCGGCGGGTCGGAATCTCTTGGGTTTTTGCGGCGGAAGCATTTCTTGATTATTAGAAGAATTACAAGAGCGAGAATTCCGGTAGAAACTGCTATCAGAGCTACGTATAGCCATCCGATGATCATATTTTTTCTCCGATGAACAAAAAAAAGAAAAAAGAAAAAAAAAACACCTAGGTATGGTGTTTGTGTGTTTTTTTATTTTCCATGTACAATTGTTGTTTGTCTTAAAAGAAATGGGTTTTAGGAGAGCGTTGACTGTGACTGATTCAAGAAAGGCTTAACAACAGAGACCAGAATGAGAGGAGAGAGAGAATTGTAGAGAGAGAAAGACGAAAGAATTAGATATGTGAATTAAAGTGGGGGAATATTAATTTGTTGACACGGATCACATTTAATTAGCAGCTTTCTTTATTGACCTTTCTCCTAAGTCCTAATGCTTCTCAATAAATATATATAAATTTATTGCGTCTGTGTGTGTATGTGTATATATATGTAGTTGTTTAAAACCGACACCATTTGTTTATGCATAAAGATAGTGTTTGTTGAGCCATTCTTGCTCCAAAAGGCGAAATCCCTCGCCCCCAGGGCCCCCATTCCCTGGCCCGACAAGGATTGATGGAGGAATGTAAATCATGGTAACTCAACGGCCCGTTAAGGTAGCGGACCCGGACCTGGTGCCCACAAGGAACCAATCTCATTGGAGTTGAAATTCCCACACTGCGGCTGCCAGGATTCGATCCTAGGACCTTGCTCCAACTTACCACCTCCGGAACCAGTTGAGCTACACCCATGCGGGCTTGTTGAGCCATTCTTGATTTTCAAAGGAGAGAGAGAGAGAGGGACATGAATAATTCGTATGATTTAAAAACTTGTCTTTGTTGGGATGTTGTTTGGATAGGGTGACGAGACATTAATTAAAGTGAGATCGGGGGTTACTTAAAACAAATACAAAAGATGGGAGAAATAAACATTAAGAAACATGACACCTTTTTTAGGGGATAAAACATAGTACTAGTTTTTTGCCATGTAAAAATTAGAATTTTGTGATCGTGATTATCCTGGGTAGCTTGGTTCGTTCGAGAGTAGATGTTTTGAATATATATTTGTTGTATTAGATGGAGATCGTCGTCTCGTTTTATGATTTTTGTTAATTTTATTTTGGAATAACTTATGGGTTTTCGAGTATTTGAAGACCCTTTCTGCAATTATTTGAGAAATGTAGGATTTTTTTGTAATTCTATAAATTTGATTGACTTTTTTGCCATTTTCAGAAGTTAATGGGGCTCTATGCCTTTTTCTAACTTCTATTTGGAGCCAGTTCTTAATTCTGAAAAATCAAGGGACTCAATAGCTAATTCTTGAAACTTAATTTATGAAACTCAAGTTTTCTTCCCGTCGCCTGGTGGTTCATTACTCCTATTCTTACGGCCGACATCGCTAATTACCATCATCGTTTTCAACACTAATCATTAGGGCGAGCGGAGGCCCGGGTGATGGGGATCAGTTTGGTAAGTTTGGGCAAAACTCCTCATATTGAGTTTATTAAAATAATATAAGCATAAAATGTATGCGTCGAAAGAGATTTATTGGTCCCACCAACCCAATACACGTCAAAAGATAGAAGCTCGCGGTTAACGAGATCGCCAATTCATCCGAACCTGCCCGAGACAAATCAACAGGATAGGTGGCGAGCTGAACGAGAATCATTAGAAGCAGAACACTCGAACATACTTTTCCTAAATAGACAAGGAAAGTATGTAAATTAGTATCAATAATGGAAAAATGAATGTAAATATCGACCTAATTAAGGCGAGTTAAACTAGGAAGCGATTAGAGAGATCTTCCTATATAAAGTTTTGTAATAAGTCTGATTAACGACACAATTTAATATGAATAAAAACTTTTTTATACTCTTTTCAAATCCTATCTCTCTCTTTAAATTTATATTTTCCATTTGCGGAGTTTATCTTCTCCGGCAAATGACCGGCGCTCGGTGGATTTTCCGGCAGTCAAGAGAGTTGGGCTTGAAACGAGGTCTTGAGGGTGTAGATCATACACCATTAGCGGGCTTTTTGTTGGCGGCCACACAAGAGGAGTTGGTGGGAGAGAGGCTGTCGTCGGCAGTGCGAACGACATCGGTTTGGATGGCGTGGTAGGTGTAGGGTTGGTAGGCGGCGTGGTCGGCATCGGAGAGGGACATGGGTGCGACGCGTTTAAGGTAGGTTGGTAGTGAGGGTGCTCGGGACGCGGTGCGAGAAGAAGTGGTGAGCCAAAATTGGCATGAATGAACATTTTATCAGTGATATTTTCCAAAAAATATGTCTTGCTTGTAGGTGTTATCATACATCACACACGTTTACCCTAGTAATTAGATCGCCCCTCAAGGAGCTAAGAGGAAACCTAAGGATCTATTATAGGTCGGAACAATACGAGAATGAGCTCAGAGCTCGCCTCAGTCACAATGACATTCGACATGATGAGACAATGAGACATTTCTAAAAAAGGTGTGGTTCCCGCGAGCTGTCAGATCAGTTAGGCATAAATAGAGCCTCCATCTGAGAAGGATCGGAGGTACTCACTTATCCCCACCCCATTTTCACACGTTCAATAGAAGCCTAAATACTCCTCTCTATATCCCCTGCGTTTCTCTGATTTTTCAGTGACTAGATCGTCGGAGTGCTAACGTCGCAGAATGAAGCCGTTGTCTCCTATGTCCGACGCAAAAGAGCCCGGTTCCAGCACACTTGGGGTCCTCTCTATATCTGGGTTTACTTAAAACAAATAAAAAAGGTGGGAGAAACAAATGTTAAGGAACGAGATACCTTTTTTGGGGGATAAAACATGGGGTTGTTTAGGATCCGAGAGGGGTTGTACTACTCGGACCCAAACGATTGAAAATCAACCAATAAAAATGTGACACGTATAATTTGTACGAACCCCACAACAAAAGTACGATACCTACCTTATAAGTGAAATTACATAAAAACCCCTATAACTAAAACTTAAGTAACAATTAATAATAATTAGTAATTAGGGCCATGACAAGGGACTTAAATGCACATTGGTCCACATAAACAACAATCTTTCAAATAAACCCATTACCATGTCTTTACTCTAAAATATCCTCCATAATATATTTTTTATCAATTTCATCCATTATACTCAACTTCCTTAATATTACACATTGACCCCGAATTTAAACCAATATATCACATCAACCCCCATTTTAATAATTTTTTGAAAAATATTTTTTTTTTAGAAAATAAATTTTTTCTGAAAATCTTTTTCCGGCCAGATTCCGGCGCTGACCTGGCGGGCATTGTCCGGCATTGAATTTTTTTTTTTGAAAAAATTTTTTTTAATAGAATTTTTTTTCGGCCAGTCAACCGCAGTTGACCGCCGCTCTCCGACGTTGAATTTTTTTTTAATTTTGTTTTTGAAAAAAAGTTCTTAGATAAAAATATTTTAATTAATATTACTATCTTGCCTACTAAATTACTGTCTCATACAGTAATATTACTATTTCAGACAATAATATTACTGTTTCGGACAGTAATATTATGAATATTATTTCCCGAACCGTAATATTACTAATATTACTGTCCCAAACAGTGACATTATTGCTTGAGACAGTAATATTACGGTCGGAGACAATAATATTACAGTCGAAGACAACAATAATGCAGGCCAAGACGATAAAATTAATTAATACAGTAATATTATTGTCTCAGACAGTTAAATTACTGTTGGAGACAGTAATTTTGAGTCAAGACAGTAATATTAATTAAAATATTTTTTTTAAGAAAAAACAAAATTTAAAAAAAATAGTCAATTAACAGTTAAATTATTGTATATATCCGAAAGCTAAATTACTGTAGCCAAGACAGTAATATTAATTAAAATATTTGTTTTTAGAAAAAAAAAGTCAATTAACAGTTAAATTACTGTCTCCAACAGTTAAATAACTGTTGAAGACAATAATTTAACAGCCAATACATTAATATTAGTTAAAATAGTTTTTTTTAGAAAAAAACAAAATTAAAAAAAAAAATCAAAGCCGGAGACCCTGCGATTGAGCTACCGGAAAAGAATTTCAAACAAAAAAAAAAGTTTTGAAAAAAAAAAAAGAGTTAATGCCGGAGACAGTGGGTCTCTGGCGGTCTCCGGTGGTGGCAAGTCAAAATTGGGGTCAAAATTGAAATTATGGTAAAAAAATGGTTAATTGGTGAAATTGAGCTAAATTTGTTAGTCGATGTATGATCGTGGAAATTTTTTTTTTTTATTTGGGGGGCAAAGTGCAAAAATGACCAAAGTTAGGGGCAAAGTACAGTTAACACTACTTTTAATTATGTGGTTTAATAATGTAAGGTTAATGAAGTAATTTTACATGAAGTACGATGGAGTACGACCTTTGTACGATCTATTTTTACTGGGTTCGTACTTTAATTTATAAATTCATAGGTTCGTACTGGATCGTACTAGTTCGTACTTTAAATCAACGACTATAAATTTTTACTAAATATTTTCTACGCACCAGATTAAATCGTTTGGGTTCGAGTAGTACAACCCCTCTCGGACCCTAGACAACCCCATAAAACATAGTACTAGTTTTATGCCATGTAAAATTAGAATTTGGTGATCGTGATTTTCTCGGGTAGCAAGGGACATTCGAGAGTAGATGTTTTGAATATATATTTGACGTATTAGGTGGAGATTGTCGTCTCCTTTTATGATTTTTATCAATTTTCTTTTGGGATATCTTATAGCTTTTAGGGCATCTTCAGTTGGGTGGTTTGGATAGATATCTATGGATGGGATATGGTATACTAGGACTAAATTGTTGATTCACGGTGAGTAATCCATTATTTGGTTGGAGTTATGGGGGAGAAACTAATAATACCTGCAATAATAATATCATGTTTTGTTCTGGTGATAACACTGTTTTCTATGGATTTTTAAGGTAAATTACTGGTTTGCCCCTTTTAATACATTTATTAATTAATCGATTCTCTCTCTACCAATACATCTCCATCTTCTTCATTTATATCTGGGTACAATCTTCTGCGGAAGAAACCCTAAATTCTTCAATAATTTGCTCTCTTTTAAAATAAAAAAAAAAAAAAACTTTTCTCGGGATCACAATTATATATAAGCTGGTGTGTGTTCATATCTCGTAATGAGCTACATTAGCGTTAATTCTCGAAAGAATTCGCGTAACAAAGCCGCTGAGGAATTCAGTTCATATGGGATGCAACGCGATGTCTGTGATTGCGGCAATTTAAAAGATCTTAAATTTAAAAGCCGCTGAGGAATTCGAGCAAATAATTATCCCAAAAAAATTGTCTGATCGAATTTAGAAAAAAAATTAAATGGAAATTTAAAATCAGTAAACTGTAAACATACCCATGAGAATCAATTACATTCCTGGAAATCTTCATCTTCCAATTAAAACGAGCATACAATTCCTCCAAGCTACACATGAGCGCGTTCTCCACCGACGTCGCCTTCCTGGATCCTCCGCCGCCAGGAAATTCTCTAGCTCCACCGTCGTTCATCATCGTGCTTCTGAAATACCCATCTTTCCTGGCTCCATTACTGCTGCTGCTAGCAGTATTACCAGCGGCGTTCCCGTTACTGCTCTCCCCAGGAATCTCGGCATAAATATCGTCGGCATTTCTCGGATTGAATCGAAAATTAGGGTTCGGATACTGCTGGTGGTTGTTGTAGTAGAAACTCTGGTTCTGGGCGCGAGAGCTGCGGGGGAGAGGGGAATTGGCCCGATTTGAGGCCCTCTTCGCCGTAGAGATGTAGATATGGCGCTTCTGAGGGTCGCTGAGTACATCGTAGGCTTTGGAAATCTGTTTGAATTTGGCCTCGGCCTCCTGCTTGTTGGCGTTTTTATCGGGATGCCAAATCATGGCGAGGCGGCGGTAGGCTTTCTTCAAGTCTTAGTCGTTGGCGTTGCGGTTCACTTTTAGGATGTTGTAGTTATCAATCCCCAGATCTGGGTTCTGATTCCGATTGTTGAAATTGGGGCGTTTTTTTTTTTTTTTTAATTCCTGTTACGGGAAGTGATTGATTGCAGATGTGAGAAGAGGGGGCGGGGCTGCGGTAGTTAAAATTGAGAGTAGTAGAGAAATTGGGTTTGAACAAGGAAGGTGGTGACGAGGTGTGAGATTAGAAAGGAGGAAGAAGGTGGGGTTATTTTTTTTAATTTTGTACATATGAGTTTTTACCTGGAAAAAAACTAGGGCACGATGCAAGAAAGGGGAAGATAAAGATTGTAGTATTTATACTTATTAATTTCGTAATTGATGTATTTTCGAATGATATTTTGGACATTACACATGGGTTACAAAAGGGGATTCAATATGTGATAACTAGTCAAGCCAACTTTGGCTTGACTAACGATAATTCGAATGGGGTATTAAATGGGTGGCCCAACAGTCAAGGATGGTTAACTCAAGTAAATCAAACGTTGTACAAAACGGTACAACCCATCCCATCCCTTGTAATACCCCCAACCAAAGAGGCCCTTAGAGTATTTAAAGACCCTTTTTGCGATTATTTGAGAAATTTAGGATTTTTTTATAATTCTATAAACTTGAATGATTTTTTTTGCCCTTTTCAGAAGTTAAAGGGGCTTTATACCTTTTTCTAACTTCTATTTGAAATCTTAATTCAAAAAATCCAAGGGACTCAATAGCAAATTCGTGAAAACTTATTTATGAAACTCAAGTTTTCTTCCCATCGCTTGGTGGTTCACTACTCCTATTCTACCGTGGACTTTGCTAATTACCATCACCATTTTCAACATTTATCATTGAAGTGAGCAGAGACACGGGCTTTTGTTGGCGGCCATGCAAGAGGAGTTGGTGAGAGAGAGTTGTCGTCGGTGGCGCGAATGACATCGGTTTGGATGACGCGGTAGGTGTAGGGTTGGTAGGCGGTGTAGTCGGAAGATGGTTGCGACGCGCCTAGGGTAGGTTGGTTGGTTGGTAGCGAGGGTGCTCGGGACACGGCATGAGGTGGAGTGCTGCGCGACAATTGGCATGAATGAACATTTTATCAGTGGTATTTTCAAAAAAAACATGTAGCTTAATATGATGTCTTGCTTGTAGCTTATCATACATCACACATTGCTTGTAGCTCAATAGAAGACTAAACACTCCTCTCTATATCCCCATGCGTTTATCTGATTTTTCAGCGACTAGATCGTCATAGTGCTAATGTCAGGGAATGACCCTTCATCGTTCCTTTTTTCCGGGTCTCTTTTGTCCGATGCAAAAGAGCCCGGTTCTAAGGCACATGGGGTTCGATTTCGACACCTTGGGAGCATAAATCCAATTTGATGCAAAATGTTTTTTTAAATGAAAAGTCAATTCCAACTTTGTTTAAGAAAATAAAACAAATTATAATTTATTTTAGTTTAAAAAAAATCTGAAATTTCGAAAATTCTGTTACTTTTTAGAAAAAAATGGAAATTGTACCGAATGTTCAATTTTCGAAAGACTACATAGAAAAGGGAAAAAATTCCGAATTTTCAAAATTTTAAAAGATAATACAATTTTCATTTTATCCTGCTACATTTTCCAATTATTTCATATATGCATATAAATCTTATTGAAAATATGGAAATTGGATTTCAATTTAAAAAAGAATTGGAAATTGGAATGAGGAATTGGAAAATCAAAATTAATTTTGAACCCTATTGGAGTTATAATTTGGTTTGACATAGAACTTGTGATTTTATTCCAATTGAAATTTTGAATCCTATTGGAGTTAGATTGAAATTTTGAATCCTAAAAAGGTTAATTAGGGTGCAAAGTGCCAAATAAATAGTAATTAAAGGGAGCATTCCGTTATTGTTTTAAAGTTAAGGATGCAAAGTGCGAATGACACGTAAGTTGAGGATGCGAGTGCCAATTACCCAATATCTTCTTTGTTGAAGATAATAATAAGACTGAAAAAAGATGATCCAGAACCAAAAATGAAAAATGGAGGCCTACTCCCCTCACGCTAGTAGTACCTTCTTCACTCTCCAAGAATTCAGCTCCGAAATCCCTAAAAATGGCGATTTTAATCAATTCGATTGCCCAATTTCCCCTCAAACCCCAATTCACCTTCAAAACCCACTCTCAAAATCCCCCCTTTAATTTCAACCCACCCACAGCTCCGGCCACCATCAAACCCCATCAATGGCGGCGGCGCGCCATAAAATCCTGCATTCCGAGCCCAGACATCGACATGGTTCGGACAAAAGCCGGAGTCTACGCCGCGAAGGCGAAGAAAGTGGTGGTCCTCTGGGATTTGGACAACAAGCCGCCGCGGGGTCCGCCGTACGAGGCGGCGATTGCCCTCAAAACCCTAGCCCAGAGATTCGGCGACGTCGTCGACATGGCGGCGTACGCCAACCGCCACGCGTTCATCCACCTCCCCCAGTGGGTGGTGGAGGAGCGCCGCCAGAGCCGCAGCCTCGATTTCCGCGAGCGGAAAGGCCTCTCCGCCCCGCCGGAACCCTACGTATGCTCCGTCTGCGGCCGAAAATGCAAAACAAATATGGATTTAAAAAAACACTTCAAACAGCTTCACGAGAGAGAGAGGCAGAAGAAACTAAGCAGAATGAGAAGCCTCAAGGGCAAGAAACGACAGCGTTTTAAAGAAAGATTCATCGAGGGCAACGAGAAGTACAACGAGGCGGCCCGGAATCTGTTAACCCCGAAAACCGGGTACGGGTTGGCCCAGGAGCTTAGACGGGCCGGAGTGTACGTCAAGACCGTGCAGGACAAGCCGCAGGCGGCCGATTGGGCGTTGAAGAAGCAAATGCTGCACTCGATGAATCGAGGGGTCGATTGGATTGTTCTAGTGTCGGACGATTCGGATTTCTCGGAGACTTTGAGGAAAGCGAGGGAGGCTAATTTGGGTACCGTGGTGGTGGGCGATAGGGGTAGGGCGCTGGGGCGGAACGCGGATGTGTGGGTCCCGTGGATTGGAGTTGAGAACGGTGAGATTAAGGAGAGTGATTTGGAGTTGAAGAGTAAAGAATGGAGGGAAGATTCGGACGAGAGGAGTGGTTTTTCGGTTAGTGAGTTTGACGGGGGTTTAGTGGGGGATTTGAGTTTGGATGAATTTATCGGGAGTGAAGAGTTTGGTGGTTTGAGAATTTCTTCGTTTGATGAAGGAGAAGATGAGTATGAATATGATGACGAGGATAGTGATGTCGATGATGAGGAACAAGGAGATTACTCTATTGATAGTGACGATGAAGGAATATTATTTTGATGTAAACTATTGTTTGCCGAAAATTGGGAAAAGATTGGTTTTTTATTTTTGGAGAATGATTCTTGAAATAATGCATTGATCGAACGAAGTTTCCGACTGTTGTTACAATGGGTTCGGGAGCTCGAAATCTTGATATGTGATGTCATCCTAGCGTATTTCGGGTTTGCTTTCTTCGCCCTAATACTTAAGGTTCTTTTAATCTTCATAGAAACATATGCACTAGATACAATATAATCGAAGAAACAAATTAAAATATTTCGAATGACGCTTATACAACGTAATGACTCTAGTCTAAAGTCATTGGTAGTGAATATGGTGGAAGATTGAATCGACGAATTATATCGAAATATAATTTATTTACTGATACGTTTATTGATTTTCAGCGTTCCATGTCATCGTATGAATAGGATATTACAACGTGAATATCGACCATTGTTTTGTTGTAAATTAGACTAATGTATTTTTGTTCGTGCTGAATATGCACATCGGTTTATCTTTCTGCTCGATTTTCCATTTCTGCAGCTAAGTATCATTCTCTGAGAGTTTTCTGATGGTCTTAGATTTGTATATTTTGCTATTTGATTAGCGGTTTTCCCATTAGAAGAGATACATATTTCGTTCTTTTGAGTCTCCCACCGGTTTTTTATGTCAATTTTGTCGGAACAAATTTGGGTTCGATTTTTCTCGAAGCGGGTTGGTTTGCAAATTGTCGAAGTACTATGGGCAAAAGAGATCTCGCATTTTCGTCGAAGACTGTTTCATTTTACTAGATTCTCTTTCTTCCTGCAATTGTCTTGCTTAGGGGTGTGAACGAGCCGAGCTTGATAGAATTTCCTGGCTCAAGCTCAAGCTCGTGTCCAATTTTGCGAGCTCGAGCTCATCGAGCTTTCATTTTCCAGGCTCAGGTCGTTTTGTTAATTTTTAGTTTTTTTTCTAATTTTTATATTAATATTGCTTTATTTTATAAGTATAAATTATAAAAATATATTTTTTTAATTTTTATATGTATTTGTATATTATTTTTGTTTCTATGTATGCTATTTAAATAAAAATAAATAAATATGTTAAACATCTATAATCAGGCTCGAGCTTATCGAGTCGACTCGTCGAGTTCACGGACCGCCGGCTCAACTTGTAGAAATATATTTATTACATCTAATCTTTATTTTATTCAAATAAAATATAAATTCTTTATTCATATATAATATTTTTCATTCCTTTATTAATAGGTTGTTGTTGGCAATAAATATTTATTTATAAGGGCAAATGGCAAAAAGGCCCATCACATGGGACTTAAATGCATTTTGGTCCACAAAAAAATCAGTCTCTCAATTAAGCCCATCACCATGTCTTTAGTCTAAAATACCCTCAATAATATAATTCTTATCAATTTCACCCATTATGCTCTAACTTCCTTAATATTACACATTGACCCCGGATTTAAACAAATATATCACATTAACCACCGTTGACCGCCGGTCTCCGGCGTTGATTTTTTTTTTTTTAATTGTTTTTCTTAGAAAAAAAAATATTTTAATTAATATTACTGTCTTGGCTACTAAATTACTGTCTCAGACATTAATATTACTGTTTGGGACAGTAATATTATGAATATTATTTTTATTATTGTCTAAGATAGTTAAATTACAATTGGAGACAGTAATTTAACATCCAAGGCAGTAATATTAATTAAAATAATTTTTTTTAAGGAAAAAAAAAAAGGTCAATTAACAGTTAAATTACTGTCTCCGACAGTTAAATAACTGCCGGAGACAGTAATTTAGCAAGGAATACAGTAATATTAATTAAAATATGTTTTTTAAGAATAATCCGACAGTAAAATAACTGCTGGAGACAGTAATTTAGCAACGAATACAGTAATATTAATTAAAATATTTTTGAAGAAAAAAAAAATAGAGTCAATTAACAGTTAAATTACTGTCTCCGACAGTTAAATAACTGCCGGAGACAGTAATTTAGCAGCCAAGACGGTAATATTAATTAAAATATTTTTTTTAAGAAAAAACAAAATTATAAAAAAAAAAAAAAAATCAACGCCGGAGACCCGGCGGTCAACGGCAGTTGACCGGCCGGAAAAAAAATTTCAGGAAAAAAAAAATTTCAAAAAAAAAAAAAGAAGTCAACGCCGGAGACCGGCGGTCTTCGGCGGTCAACGCCGGCGACCGGCGGTCTCCGGTGGTGGCGGTCAAAATTGGGGTCAAAATTAAAATTAGGGTTAAAATTGGTTAATTGATGAAATTGGGCTAAATTGGGGTGTAAATCATGAAATTGGAGTTAAGTTGGGTTTCAATGAATTGAGGATAATTTTGGTATATATAAAAGGATTTTTCTTATTTGCAAATAAGTTTGAATGGACTGGGTTTATTTGAAAGACAAAAAAGTTGGATGTCCCTCTTTTAATTAAGTGCCCTTATCATGGGCCTATTTGCCATTACCCCTATTTATAATTAAGTCAATACATATGTTATCGATAAAAAAAAGAGACATTATTTGAAAGTATAATGAATAATTTCGCCTAAAGTGGGCTTCCCTTTGAAGTGATTTCGCGCCAATAAGTTTTATAAGTTAGCAAAACATATTTCATGATAAATTGAGGAATTACTATTCAGATTTACTCGACAATTAAGAGTAGCCCAAAACCAAGGCTTATAGGGCCTATGCTTAGAGCAATTTTTGGGGCAATTTTTTTTTTATTTTTCATATAATATTATTATTTTGTATTTCTGTAAAACTAGATTAAACAAATTAACACAAAATATTATAATAAGAAAAACTAATAAAATATAATTCCATAATTTATATAAAAAAATGAATCATTTATAACAAAATTACAAATCAATTTTTTTAAATTTGGGTACTTAATAATTTAATCACAAATGGTATTAAAATTTAAAACATCTATTTTCATTTTTTTAATAGAATCAACGCGTGTTTTAGACATGTATATATATCACACAGACTAATTATTATAAATATGTTTCTAATATTCATTTTATTAAAAATAATTAAATTTTAGTTCAAATATATAATATTTTGTGTTAATGATTAGTTTTTATTTTTCCCTAACAAATATTGAAGTATAATCATTTCATGATACATGTTATAAAAAACGAACATTTCTTTAACAAAATCAAATATTGTTTAAGAACAACTATTAAAAGACATTTAAGAAAAAAAATGATAAAAAGAAAAGGTGTTATTCAAAAAAAAATAAAAAAATAATCAATTAGAAGTTTTGGAGAAAAAAATATAAAAAAACAAAATTTTCCAAGTAAAATTGACTGAAAATGTTAAAAAATATAGTGGAAAATGGCTCAAACAAACCCTTATACATATAGCAAACTTTTTTTCCCCTTGTCTTTTTGTTTTGACGTCTTATTTGCAGCAAACTTCGCAACTTAGCTTCTTGTGAATTATTAGGCTGCCCACACCCACCTAGCTTTGCGGCTATCTATATTTGTTAATAGTTAATAGTTAATACCAATTTATTATCATCCATCTCTTATAATTTTTTACTTATTTTATTTGGTTTTTTAACATAACTTTATTTTATTTAGTCTCTATCGATACATTTAAATTTTCGTTAACTCGAGAAATTGACTTTGAACGGTGGTTGCAGCCTTGTTATTAGTCACCAAGATCTATAGTAAATACATAGGAAAACAATATTGAAAATTACCAAAAAAAAAATGTATAATTTTTTTCACTATAAGAATATAAAGATTTTCTTTGTTATAAGAATGCGGCGAGACGATTGAGCTACGCAATTACCCGCATTTGAATTACCTACTCATTTTCTTTGTCTTCAGATAAGTCATAACTGTTGAATGAGCACTTGAAATATTTAAAATGAGTGGCAGTGAGATTCGAACTCGAAACTTTTTTTTTTTTTTGCTCAAATTTGATACTATGGTGAATGATCATCTCAATAAAAGTTTCAATTATTAATGAAATGTATCAGTTTAATTATAATATCTCCAATAATAACCTCATGAACATATTTGAAATGGCTTTTCTAGACTGTGTAAATAATAAAAAAATTTGTATTGGATATTTGAAATGCTTTTTTTTAATTAACTTTATAAGGACATTTGAGAGGACATTTCAGACATTTACAAGAAATAAATTAGTTAATGATGTTTACTCCCTCCTACTCATTTTATTTGTCGTTGTGAGATCATGCGCACATATTAAGAAAATCAATAATTATGGCATGGGTTCTGGAAAAATCATAATAAAGTTGACTAAAAAATCACTTTCATTAATTGTTTCATTATTAATTCTTTTAATAGTAGTAAGGGCAAATTTGAGAAAAAATACAATAAATGTGTCATTAGAATTGCAAAGTGACAATTATTTTGAATAAAAAAAAATTCTATTAAGACAAACAAAATGAAACGGAGGGAGTATTTGTATTTTTTTCAAAACGACCTACTTCTGCATTAATTGGTTGGAATTATATTAGTAAAATATTGAACAACTTAAATTATCTATTTGCATGGAGTTGTACATTATAATTATAATAAAATAACGTTGTAATAAGAACATGTACATTGTTTTGGCCCTTGTTTTTTCATTAAATGTTGCGTAGACGGAACTTCTTTCTTAAAATTTCATTTTTTTCTCGCTAATAAATAATATAATGACGGACCACCGACCCTACCTCCTTTCTTTATTCACTTAATTTCAATATGTATACATATATTTAAAATTAAATTAAGAAACTTACGTATATATATTTTACAGATACAACATTCACCTACTACATGCTTTATGAAATGGAAAATTTTCCACATGTACCCCTGCCTTGTACCCGTTTCTGGTTTGATTTTATTAAACCTGGCCCGACATGTATAAAACCCGCCTCGTACTTGCTATGAAAAATGTGTTCCACGTCAACAAAAAAATAACAAAAATGTTAGATGGGAAAATGAAGATACTAAATGAATAATAGAAAATGATAAATGCATTTTAAATATGACTTGGTGAATATTTTATTTTTTTGTGGGTGGAGGGCAATTTTGAAAAAATTAATGAATGATGTAAAACAAAGGTTTTATTGCGTTTGTCATTTAATTTTAATAAGTTTTGTCACCATAGACATATATTTTAAGTTCCCTAATAATGTTTTAGAATCCAATACAACATTAATTACATAAGTTTCAATTCTACCCTTATTATCCAATACTCTTTGTTATTAATTAGTGGACACTGTCATTTTAGTCTAGAAATGTATATTTTTTTCTAAAATCAAGTCACATTTAGTGAGATCGTATATGCTTGTGCAAAATTAAAAAAATGACAATTATAAATGTTTAAGAATTTCTTTTGGTCCATTATTGTCTGTCCCCTTTAGATAACTCTCCAACACTCTTTATGTATTAAATAATAAACAAGGGCATTTTGGTCTAAAAATATACATTTTCTTAAATCCGACACTTATGTTTTGAATTTGTTAATATATATACAA